CAAATATGACGCTATCAAGATGTTAGACTCAAGAAATATCTTAGCAAAGACTTTTCGATCTACAAGCGACAGATTGAATGATAAATACTGTTTGACAAGTTGAAATTAAGTTGCTTGCTAAAAAGAGAAGCAGATGGTAGATAATGTGATTTCCATATGCAAATGAGGTTGTTGCTTTAATTGTTGATTATACTATGAAGCAAACATTTTCTCCTGATATTATTGTCCACTATTAAATTCATGAACTGGATCAAATTAGTATGTATCATCTAAGTTTGATGGTTTTACAATACCCCATATTATTCCCACATGGTAAGGATGGTTGACACTCAAATATATCATATTATCACAGTGAGGATGTTGATGGGCTCAACAAGAAGAATGTGACTCAATGTGATTTTTTACAATTGTGGACTTCAAACAAGACTGCAACAATCAGATTCATTTGTATTGTGTGAAAAATTGTAACAACATTGATACCAAAGTCTTTTGGATTCTTATTTTAGAGGTGATTTGTACACCTATATGAGCAAAAAATATGTAATTTTAACTTCATTACATACATGTAGTATCTATATAAGTATGTAATCTTGACAGTGAGAAATAAATTAAAGTGTGATATACGAATTGGTTCATTTGATGGGTTTATTTTTTATTTTTATTTTTAATTACAAATTTTGATTTTTTCGGCAATTGAATAATTTGGGTTACTTTATATTATAAAAAATATATCTTACTTTGTATAATATGAATTGTTATTTATTATATTCACCAAATTCATCCGGCCAATGGACTGCGTATGTATTGTCATTTGCCTTAGAAGAATAAAGTAGTCCCAAAGAAGAATTAAAAATTCAAAAAACTATAGAAAAAAATGAAACATCAATGCTCTTGGCCTGGATGGAAATCAATGCTCATTCTTTTTAGGCACAAAAATATACATTTGTGGAAATTCATGCTCATTCCTTTCAAAAAGCATGTTATGCTCTTCGGTTATTGGCAGATGATGACGATGATGAGTGGAGTGACTTTTTGAAAGAAGTTGCCTTTCAGGTTCTAGACATAAAGTTAGGAATATGTTTGTCACAATTCTTATTCACGACCAAAGGATCTTATGTGCAATCTTTGTGGGAGAAAAATGAGAATTATTGAACGACAATATCCTACTTAATCGTAAAGGGAGTTAAATTTTTATGACTTGCAACTTTATATTGATGAGATCAAATAGAAATGCTTGGTGGAGATAGATAAATTACTGCAGAAATATTGAAAGTCTCTAGCTGATTTCCAAGGTTTGTCTATTCCATCAAGAGCCATGAGGTCGAATTTAGAAAATTGAATAATCATCGAGGAGTTAAATTACAATGAAAGATATTTAATGAAGAAGTTCAGTACATTGTATCCAAAATTGAATTCAAAGCCGATGAATGCATTAAATGAAATTATTCAAGTTGTGGAGGAAGAAAATGGAAACTGCTTCTTTGTTGATGGATTTGCGGGTATAAGGAAGACATTTATTTTAGAAAGTTATTTGTGTGAAACTACGGGCAAAAAAGAAAATAGTGTCGTGCATTGCTTCTTCTAGTATTGCAGCTTTACTAATGGTTGGAGGTATAACTGCTCATTCTCAATTCTATGTTTTAATTGACTGTGACTCAAAATCAACATGCCATATTGAACAAATAAGCGAGTTAGCATAGTTGATTCATAATGCTTCTCTTATTATTTGGGACTAGCATGGCCCCCGGCCATTTGGCCGGGAGGAAGGTGAGGTATGAAATTTGATAATGTAATGGGGTGTATAGCTTATTGTTGTATAGTTGTTTTTTGGGAAACACGTGATAAAAATAGTGAATTTTAGTAGGAAAGAGACATAAATGATGCAACGAATCAAAAATCAGCCTTATGAACCAAAATCAAGTACTTGTTACATTGTGAAACAATATTGTTTCTGGTAATATGATGAGGTGGAGTAAGTTTTATAGAAACCGAATTCCAGAAATCGAATAAAAAATCATTATCCTGCCGGTTTTCGAGAAATGAGCATCTCACAATCGTTGCTAGCTTTTACTAGACCCGTTGGCCTACTAATTTGCTTTATAAAACTTTCATCTTGTCATCATTGTGCTTTCTGGTTTTTTGCCAAGCCATGATAAAATCTAAAGAAATCAAGAATGAATAACACGATTTGAGATAGAAACCACCGTTCCTGTATCCCTAGAAAATGGTGGTAAACACGGACTCACCTGCCAAACTGGTTTAGATTGAGATTTTTATGGGGTATTAGGGAACCATGTGATTATTAATTAGACTTGATCAAAACGGGCCAAAACTTGAAATTCAGCTTGTTGACCGACTCATGCCAAACTCTAATTATTCTTTACTTTTAAACTTTCTATTTGAAAATAAAAAATAATGAAAGAAAAGAGATGACTGCAATTCGCCATTTGTACATCACTGATTCGGGAATAAAACTATAGAATTTCGAAAGGAAACTGAAAATGTTTAGGATCGTTTTATAAGTATAATAATATGCCCTTCTATTATGCATTTTTATCAAACATGCTCCTTTATTATTTTTCTTCTCAAACATACCCTTGTAGTATAAAATATTATCAAATATAACCCTCCGTTAAATTTCCATCTAAACTCCGTCAATCAAGATCCAACCAAAGTTTGGATGACCTAAAATGTCCAAATTGCCCTAATTATTTCACTTAACCTTTTGGTATGTTTTCCCGCCTTTTATTTGTCGAAGAGAAGAAAATGCCCAGAAGCACTAAACCACTTCTGGAACAAACCCACCCTCGAATTTCCTCCACACCACCCTCTCCCTTCGTCCAAATCCACCCTTTCCCTCAGGTCAATTATTCTGGCGATGGCGGATAGAGATCAAGAGCGGCAGGGTTGGCCGACGCGGTGGAGCTGAACGACGCAGGCAAGTAGAGTTGATCGAGGTTTGGTTGGGCTGGATGCAGAGTTTGAATAAGCCGATTCGATTTCCCCAATTACTTCGACTGGGATTTTCCATCTTCTAGACAATCGTCAAGAAATCTATATTAGGATTCGACTGAGATTTCAGCGATTCGGGGGAAAAAGAAAGCGGATAATGAAATTGGGAGTCAGATTCGCTGCCGTCAACTTGACGACAATGAGAGTGATGGTGATATTGGATTTGCAGGAGCCTCTGCTGGAGATGGAATTGGGAAAATCCATACCATAAGTGAGACGAACGAAGGAGGGTGGGAGATGATTTCTACAAAGGCACGAACGGAAGAGGAAAACTTAATAAGTATTATTTTTTCAATGAGTTAATGAAAGGAGATTACAAATAAAGGAAGGGCATCTTTGGCATTTCCTCTTCGGTTTGGGTGATGGAGGGTAGTTCGCACTGTGGTTCGACCTTGGTTAAAGGAATTTTGACGGAAATTTTAACAGAACGGCGTATTTGATAATTGGTTTATTTTATAAGGGCATGTTTGATAAAAAAAATAGTATAGGGGCATGTTTGATATAAGTGCATAATAGAGGGACATATTATACCTATAACTCTAATGTTAAAAATAACCAAATAGATCTTTCTGTTTAGTTTTTTACCAACAAATACCAAACGATTCTCTATAATATACACTATAATTTAATCATTATGATATCAAATAATTACATAATATATATTTGAAATGATAAAAATTGGACTAATTGGGTTGGTCGAGGTTGAACCATTGAATAACTTTAAAATACATTATATTTTAGCAAGTAAGATATAAAATAATAGCATAATATATATTATGCTAGAGAAAATAGCTCGTTTTAGAATGGAAAATCAATGATGTTCATTTGTTTTACTTGATGGGCAAATCCCGTGTAGGTCAGGCCCATTCAACTCTTTTATTTTATGATTAGCGGTTAGCCCATTAGAATCCATGCATTAGTTTATTGTTAAATTTTTTTCTTTTTAGAAATAAAAATGAGTATTGTTTTTGCTTTTTCATATATATTTTATCACCACGGAGAAATAACAGGACTTAAAGAAAAAAATTGACACTCCTGGACCCGTTTAAATCCACATGTGTACGGTAAGTTGGCCCGTTCCACAGAGGAAAAAGAAAAAAAATTGACACTCCCTATTGCACCCTTCCTACAAACGCTCCTGGAGTAGAGAATTTGGAATGGGGGAAGGTTTTTTTCTCTCTGCGATTAAATTTTTTTAATTTAAGAAGATACAACAAATGTACTTAGTGTGATTGGTTATGATCTTTGCTTTTCTTTAAAGTGGTCATGGTTCGAGCCCTAGTAAGTGTCTTTTTAATGAATAAAAAAAAGTAATTGTGAAGACCAAATGTCATTCATACTTTCACTCTGGATGCAAAATATTTGAAATGGGGCTTCAAGTTTTTCTCATTTAGTTTTTATTTATTGTGTAGATGAAGCTCCTATGGCTAGGGGTGGAAATCAGTACGATATCGGTATCTCAATACCAAATACCGAAATCCCGAATACAGAATTACACCCTAAAACCAATCCCAATCCTTAAATAATTTCGGTATCCCAATCTCAATCCCTAAATATTTCGGTATCCCAATCGGTACCTCGGTATCCCAATCGGTATTATTAAATACAAAATTAATTACCTTTGTAATTAATAATTAAATATATAAATTAGATTTTATTGTTTAATTTAGGACAAAGAGACTAAGCAAAGAGTCTTGAGTTGCCTAGAGCTAGTATCTCAAGTTCTTGTAATTGGTAATCTTTAATTTGACACACTTGGTAGTTGATGGTCGCCTAGTAGTGAATGAGAGAGTCTAGTTCAAAGGATAAATTACGCAGTAGCTTATATTTTTCGGTATTGATCGGTATTTCGGTATTACCCGATCCCAATCCCGTAATCCCTAATACCGAATAACAACTGAAATTCAATCCCAATCCCACTCCACAAAATAATACGTGTATTCGGTAATACCAAATATAGACAAATTCGGTACGATATTCGGTATATCCCAAATACCAGTACCAAACTTCCAACCCTACTTATGGCTCATAATCATAATATTGAAATGACAGAGATTTTCAACAAACATGACCAGTAATTGGTAAGGGACCCGAGTAGATTTATCAAATTCTTCTATCAAGAGGCCTGGGTACAAGGATGAACAAGCCCAGGAAACTATCGAAACAAAACGACCCAAGCCCGTTTACCCGGATGAACACTGGCTGGTGTTACCAATCAAACACACCAATTATTGTGCTCACTCAGCCGTAGAAAACAAAACCAAGCAGTCTCGGCTCAAGGAAGTGTTCCAGATGGTTTGAAAAGCCCAAAATAGCCGAAGACGGAAAGCAGGGTTTAGCTCGGACGCAGCTGAACTTGAAGCGCAGTCATGGCTGACTCCTCGGAACTTCTCTGCGAGGCGGCGAAGAAGGGCGACGTAGACAAAGTGAAATCGCTCATCGGCTCCGGAGCCGACGTCTCTTACTTCGACGGCGATGGTTTAACTCCACTGATGCACGCTGCCAAGCTCGGCCATGGCAACGTCGTCAAGCTCCTTCTCGAAGCTGGCGCTCCTTGGAACGCTCTTTCCCCTTCTAATCACTCCGCTGGCGACTTCGCCATGGATGCCGGCCACCAAGAAGCCTTCGATATTCTCCTCAATGCTGGTACTAATGACTTAATTGCTTGCCCACTCTCTCCTCTAGCTTCCGCAACGAATTGTTCATGTTTCATTGTTGGAATCCGCCATTTCTCCCTTGCTGGCCGTTCAAATTTGCTCAAATCTGTTATTCAAGCGCTCGTGACTTTAAGAAGAGTAGTAGAACTGGCTATTTTAAGCTCTCTGTGTTGTCATCTACAGGAATTCAAGCTGAATTGATTCTTGGCACAATTGCAAGGAGAGCAAATGAGAACAGCCCCAACTCAAATGGGGATTACTTGGAAGATAGGGTTAGTTTTAGCGAAGATAAGCTCTTGGACTCCCACAGTAAAGGTGTTATGATGGCTTGGGAGAAACCTCTGATGGAGGCACACGCCAAAGCTGTATGCACCGGAGGCGGTGACATCCTGAACATTGGATTTGGGATGGGGCTTGTGGACACCGCCATTCAACAGTACTCCCCTACTTCACACACCATTGTAGAGGCACATCCAGAGGTCCATGATCGGATGGTTCGTTGTGGCTGGGCCGAGAAGGAGAATGTGAAGATCGTGTTTGGTCGTTGGCAAGATGTTCTTCCACAGCTTGGAACTTACGATGGTACATCATGGATTCAGTTGTTCTTTTCTGCAGATTGACTGGTTTGAATGGTACTGTAATTGATTAATGTGCTTTTCAGGTATTTTCTTTGACACTTATGGAGAGTATTATGAAGATTTGAGAGATTTCCATCAACATCTGCCGAAGTTATTGAAGCCTGGGGGGATTTATTCGTTCTTCAATGGGCTATGTGGAGGTAATGCATTCTTCCATGTAGTCTACTGTAATTTAGTGTCACTAGAGCTCGAGAATCTGGGGTACTCGACGCAGTTGATTCCCTTGCCTGTCAAGGAGTGTTTGCCAGAAGATGTTTGGGAAGGAGTGAGGCACAAGTACTGGCAGCTTGATACATACTACCTCCCCGTCTGCCAGTCTTCACAGGATTCTGAATGAATGTTATCTGAAATCTGAATTCTTGAGAGAACTTATAATTAAACATGGGTTTTTTCTTCTGCTTGAGTTGTGTCTTCTTCTTATTCTTTGTTGATGATCGATTCTCTTAGATGGGATGGATCAGCCTACTTATGTTTTTTAGACTGATGTATTTAAGTTGATAAGAATCAAAAGTAGGCTGATTATGAAAAAAACTGAATCAGAAGTTGCCCTACATTCAACTATTGCTCGCTGAAAAACCTGCTTGTGTTTTAGTTAACAATGTCCAGTGAGTGATTGCCACACTGAAGGTAGGATTAGTAACTGGCGTCTGGTGGAGTCTTAGGGAGATTTCCTTTATTCTTGCATTTTCCCATTATTTGGGATATGGAATGGCTTCTATCTTGTCTTTCATACCCACATTTGAAGATTGGTCTGCTGATTTCCTATCATGCCAACTCGAGTCTTTCATCAGCAAGGAAACTCCACTACCAAATTGTCCTTGCACAGAGCTTATGAACTATTGAATACAGGATTTTAATGTTGATCTTTGAAGTCATTGACAAATTTCTTTGTCCCTGGGTAGATACTTTCACACACAGCATGCTTTGCTCATCCCTTTTTATCTTCGTTCAAACGCTTAGTTTCTGCGAATAGAATGGACCCTAGTCTCTGGTGTAGAGATGGATCCCCAGAAAGCCTAAAAGGTGGAAAGAGCCAGTAAGCTGTTAGAACTATGGTGTGGCTAATATAATAGGGCAGACCTTAGTGTTTTCTTGGTCATGGATTATATTGCCACCAATGTATTAGTGTAAATGAAGTGGCTATCACCCTTTGAACTTGCTTTCCCAATTTCCCATTTGTACAAGGCCATTCTCTAAACAAGGTACATGAACGAAAACTCCTTGAATTGCACATGTGATTACTATTATGGGTTTTCTGTACAATTATTGGAAACCAGTCTTCTCTGGCTCATAGTCTCGCAGAGGAAACTATGAACACCACAGGAGGGATGGAGCTGCGAAGGGAAATTCTTAACAACAGTAAACATTCTGGCACTTCCTATGAACAATAGTATTTGTCAACTTATTCTTTCTTCCCAAGCCTGAATATCCTTTGCTTATACCCAGCTGAAAGCAATGGGACTGTAAACGACATGCTTTCCATCTGACCATTCTAGATGAGCAAAGCTGGTTGTTCCCGAAGGCATCGAGGTTGCGGTAAACGTCACCGTGTAACTCTTCTTCTCCTTCTCCTGGCCGAAAGTTAGGGTCGCTGGCTCGACTGACATCTTCACTGCCCGAGTCTCCGAAGCCAATTCCACCTTGTATGTCCCCGGAGACCCTACATTGGTTAACGTCCGGCTGTACTTGGCTACAGTCGCCGCCCCACTTCCACCTCCTTTGCCCGAAGCAGTGTTGACAGCGACAGAGAAAGACGGATAGTTTAGGTCGCCTAGACTGTACTTCTTGCTGGAGTCGCAAGTAAATGCTTTGTTCGTTGCCCTCTGGATTAGCTCTGAAGTGTAGTTCAAGGCACAGAGGAATTCAAAATAGTCCTCAATAGTCGCATCGTATACCAGACCGGGATCGAGGGCTGCAACTGGGTTCACATGTCCAGCTCCGTAATCGAATGGTGTGGCTGCTCGACCCGTTGCCACGTCTTGAATGATCGATCCGGTTTTGTAAGCCGTGTAGGCTGTGGTCATGAGGGCGGACCGGATGGCCGCAGGGCTCCAGTCCTGGTGAGCTGCCTTGACCAGAGCTGCTAAGCCGCTCACGTGTGGGCAAGACATGGATGTTCCGGAAATGATGTTGAAGCTCACACTCCTTGTGTCGTTGGCCAGTCCGGTTGGACCTATTGCCCCGGTCCAACCGGCCAGGATGTTAACCCCCGGCGCTATTACATCAGGCTTCAGAACCTCCGGAGTGATCAGGTTGGGACCTCTGGAGCTGAACGCTGCAACCACCGGAGATGGCTCGACCCCCACGTGCGTCCCGCCGGAGACAATCGTGGCCATGGCCTTGGGGTCTGAAGCAGCGTACGCTTTGATTTCGTCGGCGGATTTCTGCCCGACGGCGGACGACGGCAAGAGGTGGGAGTCTGCAACCAGCTCCTCACCGTACAACTCTGTGTTCGCCAGAATCATTCCTACCCCACCTGCTCTCTTCACCTCCAGACCTTTCTGAACTCTGCTGCTGCCTCCACGGTCACAAATCACAATCTTTCCGGCGACCTTCTCCGCAACTAAGCTATCCGACAAGCATAAGTTCCCTGACGCCGAATCACTCGCGTTAACTGCGTTGACCAAAGGAACCAGCATGTTCGTCAGCGGCTTCCCGCTGTAGAGCGACGCCCCAGTAAAGTTCTTCCCGTTTCCGAGGCTGACGTAAGAGGGGAAGCTCCGATCCAGTGTTCCAGCTCCCACGGTAGTTATCCATGGGGCGACGTTCGACAAGCTGCCCTGGCTTGGCCCGCCGTTCCCCGCCGAGCAAGAGACGAATACCCCCCTCGCAGCGGCGGAGAAAGCTCCGATCGCCACCGTGTCCCTGTAGTAATCCGACATCCCACCTCCGATTGACATGGACATCACGTTGACGCCATCTTCCACGGCTTTCTCCATGGCGGCTAAAATATCCGACCCGAAACACCCGCCAAGCCAGCACACTTTGTAGATGGCCACCCGAGCTTGTGGGGCCATCCCTCGAGCAGAACCGGACGCGAAGCCGAACAGGTTAGCTCCGGACACGACCGAACCGGCTGCTGTGGTCGACGTGTGGCTGCCATGGCCATCGTCGTCTCTCGGTGACTTGGATTCCACGGTTTCATCAACAGGTCCGAAAGCTGCTTCGTACCCTTTCAAGAAGTACCTCGCTCCGATTAATTTCTTGTTGCATTTTGTAGAATCGAAGTTTTTCCCCACCTCGCAGGTTCCTTTCCAGTTGCTTGGGACAGGGCCAAGACCTTTGTCGTTGAAGCTCTCGAGTTCCGGCCAGGCTCCAGTATCGAGGACTCCAACAATCACCTCGCTCACCGATCCTGATGCTGGCAAGAGAGCTTCACTTTGTTCCAGCCCGAGGAATTTCGGGGTTCTAGTTGTGTGGAGCTCATAGATGGTTTCAGGTGTAACCGAGAGCACTCCAGGCTGTTTCTCGAGCGACTCTGCTTCCTCCGGGGAGAGTGTCGTGGAGAATCCATGGATGAGTGTGCTGTAAGTGTAGAGCATGCCGGCGGATCCTGATGCGGTTTTGAGAGATGAACCGTACCATTGTTCATGGTCGTCGAAGGTTTCTGGCATGGTTGATTTGTCCATGTGGATTATGTACGTCTTCTTGGCAGAGTTCTGGATCCTTGCTTCTGCTACTACCACGTAAGTGAAGCAGAAGCAAAGGATTGCAGCCACCAATTGAAGCCTGAGCTTAGTCATCTTCATGATTCAGCTAATGAGGCTTTTTTGTGGTTGCAGGGGAGGATTGATGAACGGAGACTACAGGGGTTTCTTCTGCTGCATAGAGCTTGGAAGAGATTCTCTTTGTGATCCTTCTGAGGCAAGGATGCATCTCACTCCCATTATAATGCTAATTAGGTACGGCCCCGCAACTGATTAATTATTCTAGTTGTGCTCATTGTCATGTTAATTAAAGCATCCTTGACTAATTTGTACGTACTCTTTGTCTAGTGAAATACTGACTGAGACTGCTAGTGGGTAGGTCTTTTAACTTTCATAAATAACTAGCGATTGATAAGCAAAGTTTCTAGCTTTTTGCTTTTCCCCCATGTCTGCGAATCTGTCAAAATTGGCAATAATGCCGTCCACCTATATTTCTTGTCCCTTACTGCATACCATTCAGTCATGAGTTCGTCTTCTTTTATTTTTCACTGTTGAGAAGGAATATAGAATGACATCCAAATCTGCATGATTGATCATTAGGGTTAATCTCCATAACCGTGGATCTCATCAGTGATGGTGGATTTGGAGAATGATTTTATCTCAATAATCACATCCATCAGGTTAAGCCCATGAAAGAAATCCTGCTGCTGGTGGGTTCAATCATGCTAAATCGCCCCCACCTGTATTCGGCTGAAACAGATGGTAGCATGAAAGAAGACCACACATGTTTTTTTTTTATAAATGTTGTTCATTTATCATCTCAAAGAGTCCAATCTTTCCCTATCCTCCGTAGCTTAGTGGATTCATTAGATGGACCACTTGCAGATAATACGAACGAGTGGCCATTATTGAGCTTTGCATAACTCTTGGGCAGCTAACAGAGTCATCATTTAACTATTTGAGCAAGTTCCTTGTGAATTATTAGTTTTCCCTATTTGCAGATTCATTATGGTGATTCATTATAGTGATTCGTAGAGAATTTCCCGGTATTGATTACTTCCTTATGGGGCTATTCATGATGAACCAAGACATGATATATGGAAATTGGTTTTACTTTGGTGATGGTTTTGGGCAAGCTAGACGCTCCTGCTAAGCTGCTTTTCCTACCTATAATTGTAGAAAGTAAAGACAAAGGCTTTTGTTCCTTCGTGCAGGTGGAGGACAGACTACCCCGAAAAGGGCAGCCATTAGCCCATTACCATAGAGACACGGAGGTTGTGTGCTCACTTTTTCTTTCAGATCAGTTAACTAGTGCTTCTCTACGCAATATTCGAAAATCAATTCTCAAAATTCGTAAGATCTTTTGTTATGGCTTATGGGTTTTCATCGTTTCACTTCCTTTTCTTATGACAGAAACTTGTACGTTAAAGACTATGGGAATTTTAAAAACTGTCGTTGTTGACTGTTTTTATTTGCAATAACATAAGCCAACTACACTTAACAAGTACTGAATCGTCCTACTTGCAGTTAAAATCACGAGACCTGCTTTGAAATGATGCTTTCTTACTAAGCATTTATCATTGCTCAGATCATGGTGGTGGTGGGTGATGGACTTGTTGTGTAGGGGGAAAGGATAGTGGGGAGAGTTGTTTTTTTAGGCTGAATTTCATAGATAAGATAGGATTAGGGTAAAGGTTACTGTGCTTTGATTGTACTGAAATTCTAGAAGTTGGGTATCTCCCAGCAGACATAAACTTTAATGAGATTGTAATGTTGTGCTATTAATAAACAATGAGCAGTGTCAAGAAAAAGTAGTTGTTTGAGTAATTATTGGAGGGTGTGGGTTTAATTAATCATAACAAGAACTTTGATAGTGTTTGTGGTTGTTTGTTCCTTACATTCACAAAGCTCTCTGCCTTAATTTCTTTTGGTCTTTTTGGCCCTTTGTGATGAATGTTGATATTTTATTAGGACATATTAGCTGGATTGGACCCCTCCCGTCCCCCTTTTTCTTCTCTTCGTCGCCACCACCAATAATTGCTTGTTGCTTATTTAGGAGAGTTTTGGGTTCGGGTTACTACTGTTTAGAGTTTTGATTTCTGGAGATTGACACTTTGTGTATGTATGTTAAAGATGACGAAGTAATTTGGTTCTGCAACAAAATTTATGAGGGAATGAGAATACATAACCCTTGCATGTTGTTATGCGTACCTAG